GATAAAATAAAATTATATAATTCTTCTTAGATGGTATGGTTGATGATATGATAATAGTAAAATTATCAAATGAAGTTGTTTTCTTTATAGGTCTGAACAGATTCTCTTATTTTGTTTTAGATATATAAAATGTATGGCTAAATCTGTTATCGAGTAAAATCTGGTTTCTATGTCTAGCTTAAACTCTTCTAAACTTGTGTTTAGGCTTCTAGCAAATAGTTCTGGATTATAGCTCGGGAAATTAATAGGCATTAAATTTTTATTTTTATTTTATATATTGTAAGATCCTACTCAGTGCTCTTCACTCAAGATCTATCATATAAAGTCAATAAAAATAAGTATATAATTAAAAATCTATAATAGTCAATAACTTTATGGTACGGTAAAATTTATAAGGTAAAAAGATAAAAATTTTGTGGTAAAAATTTGTTGTGATTAAAGTCTTATGTCGTAAAATCCTACTCGGTACTCTCTCTTTCTTATTCTGCAAACCTATGTTGTTACGGTATTATCAAAATTATGAACTGAAATTACCCCTTCTATACTATATATANCCAACAAAAAACCCTTAGCAGGCTTATGCGTAACAGATAACAGTGGGCTAATAATCCGAATTTGGTAGGAAAACGGGCCTGTCCTAGTTCTGGTATCCAATTATAGCCCATCTCATATAACCCGTCGGCTTCAACCGACTTTTGTTAGGGTTTTACCTAAGGTTTTAGTCAAGAAATCTTTACTCTTCTCCGCGAGAACCAGAAAATAGCATTCGTAAACCAAAAGTTCCATGGATCCATCAGCCCTAAGCTCTCCCGAATTGCAGCAATTTCTCAGTGTAAGTTTCAATCATGAACAGTTTTATTTTATGTGTATTCACTTATCTATTTTTTTTGGTTCCTTATAGTTTATGCTTTGATATTCGTAAACTGATCTAGCCTATGAACAGTCTTTTGGCATAGTATTTTGAAAATTTATTTGGGCATTATATATTCGTAAAGCTACTCTGAGTCTCTGCTGCACTGGTTTTAGAAAGATTGATTCAGACAGATTATGCTTCTTTTGTGGATATTTGTTTGAGTGACTTAATGGGTAGGGAAATTATTACTTTGATCTTTGATCTTTTTGGTTTAATCTTGTCTGTAGTTTGGTGTAATTTGTCGGATATGCATATTCTTGTCTGTAGTTTGGTGTAATTTATAATTGTAAAACATAGAGCAAAAGTAATCTTGAATTAATAAGACTTCAATAGATATGAGTTAGAATGCATAACCAATTTTTCGCTACAAATGCAATGACCCAAATAACTTGTACAATAAATTGTAAATAAATCCGTTTTAAACTGATGGGTGTATATGATAACATTGTAAACAAAAATCACAATTGACAACCTTTCAATTTACAATTATTTATCAATTATATACAAATGTCTATTATTACATGACTTAAAGAACAGACGGCAGGTAATTAGAAAGTTTACCTCAAATCACAAGGATGTCGATACTATAACTTAAAGAATACTACTTGTTTGAAAGTTTACCTTTACGTCGATACTATCAAGAGTTTATGATAAAGAATGTAGAATATTGACTTCTTTTATGGAAGTTGTCGCAGCTTCTCCTTGTTCTAAATTATTTTGATTTTAATATTCTTCTTCCCTCGATGGAAAGGTGTGGAGGTCAGAATGGGTTCGCATGTTGATAGGTAGACGAGGGATTCTCTTAGTCTTACCGATAGTATTAGTAATATTCATATATTTTCTTATTCCTAGATCTTTTTATTACACGTGTCATTCTTTCCAGTAGAATTAGTACTATTCTTGTATTTCTTGTCTCTAGATCTTTGTTATTACACGTTTTGTCTTTATTTTTTATTTTTTTTTGTTCTTTTCTTGTTGTTGTTATTGTTGGTTGCTTCCTTGTCACTGTTCTTTGAGCCGAGGGTCTATCCGAAACAATCTCTCTATCTTCACAAGGTGGGGTAAGGTCTGCGTACACATTATTATCCTTCCCAGGCCTCACTTGTGGGATTACAATGGGTTCGTTATTGTTGTTGTATTCCAGAATCCTAAAGTGAATCCTAATCCTAAACAAAGAAAAGATACAACTATAGAATCCTTAACAAAGAAAAACCTAAAGAATCCTAAAGCTAATGGAAAGCCACACAGTATTAAAGAATCCTAATCCTAAACAAGAAAAACCTAAATACACCGCAGTTTTTATTTTTTCCCGAAAATAAAAATTTATATTACAATTACAATTATATCCAACTTAGGATTCACCTACTAAGGGTAAAAAAGATAACAATATTCCAGCAGGGGCTTTGTGCCTTTTTGATGAAGTAAGTGAATATTATTAACAAAAGGCATCAAGAAGATGCAGATGTTACAAAGAAACAGAAAGTATCAACCCAAAAATATTAACAAAAGATCTATCATAAGACTAAGGAGCTGATAAATTCCAAAAAGGATTTAGGGTTATAAATAGGGGTAAGATTAACCCAGCTAAAAAGATTAACTAAACATTTGGCTTTAAGAGAATGATTGGCAGTTGAGATCCCATCAAAGCATCTTTGATTCCTTTTGGTCCATATACACCACAAAATACAAGCAGGAACCATAGCCCAAGGGGCTTTGTGCTTTTAATATAGTATAGAATTTGTATTTTAGAGCAAAATTGTCTAAACATAACGTTCTTTAAATCTTAAACTCATTCTTATACTGCTATACATATAGTTAATGAAACAAATAGGACTCGTTGGCAACGCTGAACACTAATGTGTAATAACAGCGGTTAGGCGTTAAATTCAACTAGTTAGTATTATCATTATGGATCTTTTGCTTCTTCCGATAGATTGCAGGTCTTTTGACACAACTCTATTGATGTGATTTTAGCCTACCGCATTTCCTGTTAGCACATTCATTCATCCTTGTGTCATATCTACATACTGATGCATATTAAGGTGTGAATAGGATATTACCCAGCCATTTTAGGCAACTTTCCACATTGTCATTTACTCGTTACTTGTACCCCCTACTAGATGTTATAACCTAGTCAATATGCTTACTGAAAGATATACCATTTTTTAGAGGAAAATAATTGCAGTAAAAACTTTTCTTTCAGAAATCCTTCATCCACTTCCCAGCCGACTTCCTTCTTCATTTCCTTTACCTTTATAAGCTGCCAAAATGATTTTTTTCCCTTAAAATTTCTCTGACATTGAGGGATTAAAGAGAAGAAGTAAAAGTGCACAGAAAAATTGAACAGACACCTATTGTGTTCAACATAATACTGTTTACTGGTTTCTTGGAATGTTATATTAACCAGTTACAAGATTCAAAAGTCTCACTCCATATGAGAACATTTTAACTGCCTCCTTACAACTAGAAAGAGGAAACAGAGAAAGCAGAAACATTCTAGGTATAAAGCACTTGTTACTTAAGCTCATTACTGAGGAAATTGTTTCAAGTGCCCTCAGATTTTTCCAGTGTGTCAGTCCAACAGTACACAGTTTTAGGTTTGTCTTTAATCTATTGTCTGTCTTCCCACTTATTATTGTTTTTATTATATTATCGAGTATCAAAGTTTCCCTGGCTTACTATATTGTTTTGATACGTCGAGAAATGTATCACCATTGCTATTTTCCTAGATGTGTTGGAAGAAGTCAGAAGACATTGCATGACTACTTAGTTGCTTGATTTGATTTAGTTGCCCCTACTTTCATATTGGGTTTTAACAAAATGGCAGTTCCCGGTTTTGCTCTTCTTTGTGTCTTGTGGCTTTCTAATATTTGCACCTGATTTCTTCATTTATGCAGGAAGAGAAGGAAAGGGCCATGCTCAAAGAAGTAGTTGCAAAGCTTACAAGTTCCTGCTGGGACAAATGCGTTACCGGTACTCCTGGAAGCAAGTTTAGCTCTAGTGAATCTAATTGTTTAGCCCACTGTGCACAACGCTATATGGAGATGAGCGCGATCATTATGAAACGGTTCCAGAGCATGCACTGAAGAAGAATTAGCCTTATAAAATGGATATGATAATCCTTTTGATTCCTTTGCTCAAAGATATTTGAAAGAGACTTGTAATTTTTTTCTTGCTTTTAAATACTATTGATGTGGTGTTACTGATGATATAATTTTACGAAATGCAGAGATGCTCTCATTTTTATTTTACTCATTTTCTCCTCTTCATGAGCGAGGACCTACATCCCAGTCCACCTTCCCTCAAAAATCAAACTACTAGTAAATTCTCATGAAATATGTCAACAGCCAAGGCTAAATGAATTTTGTTCCTTTTGCTTGTAGTGAAATAAGCTGTATATTGTTGCCAGTAACATAAACCCTAACATTGACAGAGCGAGAGTAAAGGTGCGCTCTGTTTTTTTTTTTTTTTTCCAACACAAATAATATAATGTTTCAAAAGAGTTACATTATTTGTGTGCTTTTAGTCCTTGTAAAAGCAAACACATTGCTTAATTCAGGGTCAAATGTGTTAAGTCGAATATTATAATAAAAATAGCACGGTATAGCCAGTTTTCTGGTCATTCAAAAATAGCCAGCGTTTACCAAGTCAATAAAAAATAGCCACTATTTTGCTGCAATAGAGATCGGTCCAGCATAATATACTGGAGTTCGGTGCACCTGTGTATGAACTGCAGCATATTATGCTGGACCGTTATACTTTTGAAACTGGGCTATTTTTGAACGACCGGTTGTAAATCTGGCTATTTTTAAATTTCACCCAGTATTACAAGGAATACAGCTGACAAATTAACAAAAACATGTGCAAGGTGCCTTTTGCGTTGAATATCTAAAACAAACAAGAAAACAGTGAATTTATAGGGAAAAGTGAAGTTCTCAAATGAAATTGAATCATTTCTGAAAAGCTTTTATTCTAAGCTGGAATTATATTATCATAAATTGTTCGATTTTTTTAAAAAAGTGACTGGACCATAGGTTGGGAATCTATAACAAATCAACTGAGCAAAAAAGAGAAGAGAAAAGAGATGGGAAGCATAAGGAGGAACTTGATGAATATGAGAAATTGGGAACGGAGAAGACCATGAATTGCAGGAATCATTTCTTCCAAGTATCCCTTGCAAAATAAACACAGCGCAAAGAATTTTGGTTGCCTTCACATAAGAAAAGAAAATTAAAACCCCAAAAAGAAAAAGAGAAAGAAAATAATATACACACAGAGAAGCCTGGAAGATTAAGTTCACAGTGGTTGATCCCACCCATAAACTCCATCACCGTTGGCTAATGATCTTTACACTTGTCAGTTCTTTTACAATAATTGTAACAGCGCCCAGGTCAACAACTATTGCCCGTTTTCAGTTGGGAAAGCACCATCGCTGCCAGTTATCCGATTTGAGTCTCCAATCTCAGATGCCATAGCAACTACATCAGGTGGTATTTCCAAGGTCCCACTTCTTCTTCCCCAACTAGAGCGCCTCGGGTGTAGTATACTACGCCCATCTGCCAATGTGGCACCACTTAGCTCTGAGGATATAACTGATAGCTCCTCGTCCTTATCTAGTTGATTGTCATTTCTAGGTTGTCCTTCAAATTCATTTCCTCCTGTTGCTGGCTCATGCCAAGCAGGCTTCCTTCCCCTTTCTAAATCACTCATTGTTTTCTCCAAGTTTGGACTAACAAAACCACCTCCTACTTCACGAGGTGCTATCCCAGGTTCTCTTGCCACTTTGGCCCTGAAGTTGTTCTTGGAAGGAGGTATACTAGTGCAGAATATCTCCAAGAAATTATGAAGTACACCTTTGTTAAATGGGTTGACTCGACGATCATACCGATATCTGAAATTCTCATACGTTGACTGCAAGCACACAGAAGATTCAAATGTCAAAAAAAAAAAATTGGTACTTCAATCTCCGAAATTTACATGTTAGAGAACTAGTGCATGAGGGTAAGTTTTCCTCTTTGCCTAGAAAAAACAAGGGGAGTAATTTAAAGAACAAAACATTACCTGATTTGTGCCAATAAGATACAGATGGAAGACGGTCAGGCCACCAACAAACCAAACTGATATAAATGTATAAATGATAAGCACAATAGAAGCAGGAGTCTTGGCCATTGCCTTCCAGATTGAGGTCTGCTCACCATCCATGATCCTTTTAATGTAGACCCAGCAAAAGCCATGCACGTATATGCAAAGAAGTGTTGTTGAGAAGACAAACATGAAGAAGAAACGGTAATTCCTCTGCACCAACAAACATAATATGGTTAGAGTTAGAAAGCCAAGACACGAACAACAACATTACAGAAACTTTCTCTGAAAGCTCAGGCATTATAGAAGTAAACCTTTGCTGTCAGAACAGCATAACATCTGCCATGAAAATATAAAAGCAGGAGTCTAATACAAGTTCTAAAGTACTTACAAAACCACAGCTTCAAGATCAAGATGTCCTAACGGGGTTAAGATTAAAGGGCAAATCTACAGAATCATCACAATCAGAAAAGGTCTCGACTTAAAAGTTTTTGTAAAACAATTAATGAAAAATAAAGACCATTCTCCAGCAAAATCCACTCATTTTGGAATTGTTTAGTAGACTGATACCTCAAAAATTAACAAACCCATTTTGTTACAAAGATTCTCAGTGAGAAGAAAAACATCAAATATGCTTAGTCGTTAATACTTGAGCAGTGCACGGAATTGCAAGAATGGGCAATATCAGCTATGGAGAGTTGAATGATATACACATCACTCAATAACTGACCAGCACCCTTAGCCCGAAGAGTGCAGGGAAGAAAATGTAAATGGAAGCACTGGCAGCTCTTTCATGAGTTGTTCTAGCTAACCTTAAGGAGGAAGAAGACGACCCAGAAACATGCTTTTAGGGGAGAAGTTCTATGAATTTAGGGGAGAACTTCTATGAATTTTGGAAAGGGCACGCGATAGCGCAGTTATGCAGGACATGGTTTCACATGACGATGAACTTAGTTGTGCATGTCCTGAGAAATTTAAGAATAAGAAAAAAACAAACTAAAGGTGAAAGAAATGTGCCAATGTACCTTCATACATCAAACTAATACTAGATAATGAAAAAATCAATGACCAACACCCGTATAATACAGAACCATGGATTGAGAGGATAACTAAAGGAGGAAAGTCATGAATGCATTGTAGCATCAAGGTCAAAGTGAAAAAGCATTTCTTTGAGACAGCTTTTAATGGCAAAAGAAGATGTTTGAATTTAAAATGAGGTACTCACCAGTCCAATACATTGTCCGACCCAGGGGCAGTGATGGTCGAAACGTTCGACACAGTTGTTACAAATTGAGCAGTGTGAACAACGTGGAGGCCTGTACAGCATGCATGTATCACAATATTTGGACTTTACAGTTATTCCATTGACATTCACATCCTTGATGCGGGGCAAACGTAATTGTGGGGTTTGACCAGGTCCAGCTTGAGCACTTCCTTCAAAGTTTTCTGGTTCTGGAGGATGAGGATTGCGAGGAATTATACCGGGATCTCTTCCAGAAGTCAGTAGAAGAAGGACTAAGACCTTTGGAAAGAAAATATCGATTACTTCATATCGACTCATAAATGTACATGCTTTGTAGCCGTAAAACAAAAGAGATTACGGTAAAAACCACCCATTCATAGTTCATTTATCTTAAAAAGTTTAGCCTGAACATTGTAAAAAATTTCCTTACTAAGAATTGAGAAGGTTATCTGCTTCATGGGGTACTCGAGAAAATAAAGGTCGCCCACCTTCATGCAATATCTACAAGGAATTCATAAGACTGCAAGAACCTAGATTCATTCCCTTGTACGGCAAAGAAAATACAAGCAACTTAACATTCTCCATCATGAACAGACTAATGTAAGAACAAGACAAGATGCAAGGATTACTGCTTTTAACTGTAATTCTTGTCCTCCTGATTCCCTGGGTTCCTTAAGGAATTTGTTGATTCTCTTTCAAAAGTCATTTGCCCAAGCGATTGGTCAAGAATATCTCAAATGTCATTCTTTAAAAGTGAACTTGGAGAACAAAGGACAAACTTTTAGAACTCCTGGCAATTGATTTCTTCTGCTTAAAAACCTGAAGAAGTGGCAGAAGGAAAACGAATTTGAAGTTCAGCCAGTTCACCAGAGAACAAGTACTTACAAATTCAGATTTTTTTTTATAAGACCCAATTCAGAACTCTCATTGCTCAATCTTCACACAATACCCAGTCTCTGTTCTCATTCAAAGCCTACTTTAGCTGGAGAGTGTTGATCATAGACATGAAAGGGTTAAGAATCGTATCTTTTGTCACAAGAAAGTATCAGTGATACTTTACTACTCCAGATTCCAACTATTCAATCTTCACCCTTTTTTCTAAACTTCGTCATCAACTCAACATGCCAGCTTGATTCTGACAAATTGTCAGCAGCTTTTATATGTACTAGCATAAGAGTTCCACAGTTCCTCTATCATTCCCTTGCCCGGCAAAGCATAAATCTTGTTCACCATATAGGACCAAAATCGCTCTCTCATTCCTAGTTTCTAAATTACAGTGAGACAATACAAAATCCATCAGGCTCTCGTAAGAGGACTTTCACTTGGTTTGAATGGATGGACAATGGCAACATCACGTGATGCCTCTTGTTGCTCAGAAGATCTCAATTGCCAATCAACATTAGAAATAGCCTTGTAAACACTCTTGAGGAAACAATATCTATTTGTCAAGGGTAATGGTTCAGTACTTCAGTTTGTGCAGCCAGAATAAAATGGTGGAGCATGAACTAAATATTTCAAACCCAATACATTTTCAAAATATATCTGCCCTTCTGGCCACATCTCCGATCTCTTTTTTTGAGTCGACGGATTTCACATAACTATCGATCCAATCACTTTTTATAACAGTGCATCACCAATCAAAAGAGCCAAGTCCTCGGCAATTCTTGATCTAAAATGTCGTCCGAGCTACAAAGTTAATAAATGCAGAAGATCGATGTATTCAGATCAAAATTCTTAAATCATCACGATCACAAAGGCTTTCTGCCACATACCATATCCAGTCCAACTGCCGATCCAAAATAAAGATGTTTGTCACCTATGAACTCCCAGACTACTCATTCACCATTTTTTTTTTGAGAAGGAACTACTCTTTCACCATTCAATGCCCAAATTGAATAAAAATTATGCAAGCAAGAAAAGGAAATTGCCAGAGTAAAACACACAACATTTGCACAAACAAGGGAAAGGTAGTCAAGTTTTTGGAATAATTTATTATCTCGCTATTGAGAAGGCTAATATAGCCATAAAACTATACTTTAAAAATAACGTAGTCAGTGGAAGCAGAAGCAAAAAACAAACACTTACATAAACTGTGAAAACAACAGCGGCGATCATGATTGACCACCCCCAGTCACCAGCAAAATCATCCACCATTTTCCTCGCAACAAAGACACAAAAAACAGCAACCGGGGCAACAATAAGGAAGATGGTCATAAAGACCGACCTCACATCAGGCCCAAAGATAAACCTTCCTTGAAGAATAAATTTCTGCACAATGAAGAGGCAATAATGTCAAGAAAAGTGCGCAATCACTAGATGTTACCTAAAGAACTCTTTAATTGGTAGAAAATGTCGAATTTTAGCAACTACACATCTAATTTGGAGAGCATGTTAAGTTGTTAACAGTAAATGTCTTCAGAAAGCAAAGATAAAAAACTTCTGTTAATATTTACTAGTATCTCACTATATCATCCACGGAGATGTATCCTTGAGGAACACAGGCGAGTAAACTCCAATTAAGTTTGAACTTTGCTTCTATTTAACAGCAACAGAATATTGAGGCATCTCAAAGTTATGTAGAGTTTTAAAATTAATGCATTAATTTCTGCTTTCCTCAATTGCTTCTTTTTCTTCTTTCATCCTGGGATTTCAACTTAAGGTATTTGTCTTTACCTGATTTGCCATATTTTGCAGAAAATTCATGAAAAAGTTACCTACACAATCGTTTTTTTTTTTCAAATTAAGAATGTTAATGGGAACTTTAGTTTGTCCAAAAGAATCTCATAGGAATATATGAGGAAAGTTTGGTTTTGGAGTCTACAAATGCATCATTGATATGTATTCTTTTATTAGAGTCAACTTTACAGCAATTATGCTCTTCTGGTTTTATGTTATGTACTTCTAAGAGATGACTCAGCTAACATTTATAAAGTATTACGAAAATAATTCCAAAAATATCAAACATTAAATGCTCATTCGATAATTGAGACTCATAGAAATAAATTATGAACTTGCAAAAGAAAATCTGAGATTCAAGCAATACTCAATAGGAAACCTACATAATAGAAGAGCAGAGGGAAAAGGTGAATCGCTTACATTGCTGCCTTTCCAGGCCTGATAAGTCCGGATAAAGGCGGACTGATCGGCGGCACCACCGCCGGAATCTGAACTGTTGGGCGGAGCCAACCCATACATCTCTATTTTTTTTTTAAATCTCTTTCTTCTCTCTCAATTAATTAGAATAAAGTAAAGGAGAGAATATTTAGTAGTAGTACAACTTGGATTGGGAAAAGGTCAATGAAAACGAAAGGGAAAAAGTAAAAAAGGCGGCTTTGTTCTCTTCTCTCTAACTTTTAATTATTACTTGCGAGTTGCGTGGAATGAGTCAGCCACGCGGAGTCATTGCGTCAGATCCAGGTGACAATAGGTAGCACCGGCGGCGGCGCACGGCAATTTTGGTGGCAGTGAATTTTGAGAATTAGAGAAGTTGTTTATTACTGTGAAGAAGAGTGTGGGCGAAGTTATGTTTATTAGAAAGAGTGTGTGTGGGCGTGAGTTGGAAATGAAATGATTGAAGGAGGAGGAGGAATTTTGAATAACTTGAAAACACCACCCTCTTTTCTCTCTCCAAACTTTCCTTTCTTATGGGACTTCCGCGGCTTATCAACAGCGGGTAAAACCTCAACTTTCATCTAAGGTAATAATAACCCAACGCGGCTTATAATGTTATTTAGCATTATATTTTTTAAGTTATGATTTATATATACTATTTATTATAATATTAATCACTTATTATATTATAAATTATGCTCTGCATAATAAATGGAGTAATAGATTAAGATAAACCCAGTACCATAAGGCTCGATACGCCCCTGCCCCTGACAATTACATAGGATAAATAATGATAGGTACATAAGGTGTAAATAAATTTTTTATAATACATAATTTGCAGAAATTAATTTTAAGATGAGCAACTTCTCATGACAAAAGCAACGATATACTTATAAAGTACTAGTTTGATCTATCATTTTAGATTTATGGGTTCCTACAAAAATTAAGTTAATATACAATATTAACCGGATTAACGAATTGGGTTCCAAGCTAAATATTCTTATAGATTTAATGAATTTTTCAATACAAAAACATATTCGGGACAAAAGCTACTGGGTTCACGGGAACCCGTAGCTAATGAACTGAATCCGCCTCTGTTTCTATGCACGTGCGTTACACGTATATGCTGAATCATGTGTTATACGATTTGAAAGAAAATAATATCAATATTATTAAAATAAAGTCTTGAGTAAAATTACACATGGAAGTAAAGTATAGGTTTTTGTGAATGATCAATGTGAATCTTCGTTGTGACTTGTTTGACTAGGTCAACATGATTGGATATCGTCCGAACCGATAGATATGAACAATAATAATTTAATATTATATATATATATATATATATATATATATTATGATTTTTTACTTCTTTTAATTTTATGTGCAAACATGTAATGGAGCATATCTCAGGTAACAATATTCCTGCTGCATGTAATTTCTACCCACAAAACAGATCCAAACCTAGTATAAATCAGTCGAAACTCCACACCAATATTAATAATAATAACTAATAGCAAACAATTGTAATTATGGATGACATGACCCAGGCAGGCAGGCCAATATTATCTTTATCGACTTCATCATCAATATCTTTAAAGATGGGGTTTTGTAGAAATTTTTTTGTATATCTTGACTACACCATCATACTCACTGTAGGGTAATTCTAGACGATCACTATCTCTATACACATTTTTAATAAAATTCAAATATTGTCTATTTCAATTAAAAATTTATTCCTTATAAAAAATCTATCTATATTATTATATAAAAACACGAATGTTTTATGCTAAATGTTGAACGACTAAAATATTCTTGAAATATTGATCGACTTATATACCCTTAATTAATTGGATATCTCTACAATTTTAATGTACAAAAAGGTAAAAGTCTTGCAATTAAAGTCCAAGGTTTTGTAAATAAGACCAAATTTTACGTTGAAGATTGTATTTTACAATAAAGAATACTAGAAGAAAGAGATAATTTTTTATGAGAGTTAGGAGAACGGGAAGCTTAGTTGGAAAAGAAAGCCATATTGTAGCCAGATATAATTTGAACACAAACTACCCGTTTGGACATAAGAATTTTTTCATTTTCTAAAAAGATTTTTCACTTTTTTTTCGAAATCAGTGGCCATAAAATTTTCAATTTTCATTTGAAAATGAATTTTGAAATTTTTCGAAAATTTGAAAATCTGCAAAAAGTTATTGTCAAAAAATTTACTCAGATCACTCACAGAAATTCAAAAACAACCCAAAATTATATTCTTGTCCAAACACAACTCTAATTTTCAAATATCATTTTTACTTGATTTTTTTTTTTTTGGAATTTTACAATTTTTATGTCCAAACACCCAATAAATAGTCTAAAATTTGTGTGTCCAATATAGAGTTGAAGTTTCAAAGCAATATCACTTGGACTAGAACACTGTGAACCACTTATTGCCTTTATATGAAGGTCACAATTTATTTTAACGAGTAGTACCTTTTTATTGGAGTATCACTATTTTGACAGGTAAATTCATTATTTCTTCCATCACGTGAATTCTATCGAAATTTAATTTTTATGTATCAGTACGGGAAGGAAGCAGTCATCCATAGTAGCATTTATGCCTTGAAAAATATAATTAACGTTCAACAACTATTGTTGAGCTGCAAAAAGTACAAGAAAGCTTCGAGAAAGCAGTGGCGGACCCAGGATTTTGTGTAAGCGGGTTCTATCGGAGAAGTCCATAACTAACATAAGCGGTATAAGCCGTATAAGCGGGTTCAAAAATAAATTTTATACAAAATTTACCTTGTTTTAGCCATAATTTATACATATACGCAGTATTATTTTTTGACGAAGCGGGTTCAATTGAACCCACCTTTCACTACTTGGGTCCGCCCCTGCGAGAAAGTTGTTTCTGCAATGAACAAGCATTGATGTCTAACAATTTCTAATTAGGGAAAGAAGGTTGAATTCGTGCTTGGATTTGTTTAGATTTTCAATCATGACAACTTTCTAAGTTTAACTCTCTAAACATAAGAGGTACGAAAGAGTAGACATAACTTGATAAGGTAATTTTCATTTAAGTTTGGTCTAGGATTTTGTTTACGATAATTTCATAATCGAGTTCATTGTTGAGATTGGCAAAAGCAAATTGTATCTATCTCAAGTTTTTAATATGAAGACATCACTTCCGTTGTGCAATCACCTTCTTTTTACGCTAGATATTAGATCTTGGATATAGCTGACCAATGATTTGAGGACTTGCGTTACAAAGTTAAAGTTTTGTGTCAATTTATTTAATGTTATTGTTTTATGTGTTTGTTGTATAGGTTCAATATGGAAGTTAACAGAACTTTTCTAAAACTTTTATCAAGAAATTTTATTTTGTCACAGATCTGAGTTTAGGAAGCTTGATTGTTGTGAGAGCTATGATTACGGGAAAATCACTTTAGATTTGTTATGTTACTATATAACTATTGATATAATCTTAAAAGGAAGAATAAAAGATTAATTACAAGGGAAAAAATTATCAAGTACGTAGCATAAATTTGCTAATTAGCTACGAAGTTGAAAAAAAAAAAAGGACACGTGATTCATAAACCAAGTTCAAGAGATATGCAAATCTATTTGGTTATGTTCTTTTTTAGATATTTTTGGGATTAAGAAATCACAGGCTATATAACTCTTTTATAGGAGTAAAAGTTATAAAATTTGAACGAGAGATTTCTCATATATAATAGGGAAAATTTCACATAAGAACAACTAGGCTCCCTACTTTTTAACTTTATAGGTCATATTTCAATTTATAACCAATTAGTCCAAAAATAATAGGCTAATACCCAACATTCAACTCCAACGGATTCTCAAAATTACTATTTTATTTTTAAAAAAGATGGCTCAAGCTTTTAAGTTAATTTTTGAATCAGTAACTGTGACTCAAATATTAGTTCAACAAACCAAATCTATTTGGGTGGTGAAAATTAGATTTTTAACAAGCTAAAATATGTGGGTTTAAATTTCGAATTTGATTTTAAAGAAATTTAGAGTGGGTGTTATTTAGACTTGTTAGAAATAGTATAAGGAGGTTGTATATAAAATTTGAAGTCATTTAATGGAGATTTGGACTGGTTTTGAACAAGAATTGTAATTGAAAATCGTGGAAGAAGTTCGTCTACAGACGCTTGTATAAAGGTGTATAAAAGTGTATAAGATATGTTTATACACTCATATACACTATTATACAAGATTATACAAAAAACTGACTTCGTCTTCTACCTGCGTTTACTCTGAAATTTAACTCAAATCTTGCTCAAATCTACTCCAAATCACTTCAAATTTAAAATTTGACCTCCTTTTGATATTTTCAATCAATTGGAACAACGCCCAATCCAAATAACTAACAAACTCAAAAAATCCTATTTTCGAAAGCAAAGCTTTGAATGGCCTTCAATGGTGGACTTCTACTCTTCAATTTTCTGACATTGCAAACAGGGGGAGAAGCAGAAAATACGCGGCCCATTGAAGCATATGTAGAAGATGTAAGAAGAAGAGAGAGTGAAAGCAAAGGTTGTGAGATTTAACTCTATAGCTTTTAGAAGCAATGGTTATAATAACACATATTTTGACTTTGCTAATACTTTCATGTACAATATGGGCTAGGTAGGGTAAAACTTAAAAATATGGGCCATTTTTTGTTATGATGTGAAGTCATGTGTATTTCTTCCTTGTAATTCTTTCTATATAATATCTTTATAAGTAGCATGAAATTAATATTGTCTGGCAACTAACAATCACTTATAAATATAAATTGATAATCGCATCTACGGAGTACACTTTTAATACCTACTTTCTTATATTATTATTTTATTTATTTATTATAAATGTCGAACGATGAAAGTATTTAAATTTGGACAAGAATAATTTTAGTTACACTTGTGTTTCGTAGAGAAGATAAATAAAGCGCATGATCATACAATCTCAAATTATAGAATGCCGTTGTTGCTACATGATTTCTCGCATGAACAATTATATGTTGAATTTTTAAGAGGGATATTAATGTCAACTACAAGAATTTGTTGTTCCTTCTTATGAATAATTGACTAAATATTTACGTGCAAAGCACGTATATAGATATTAGTACTATATTAAAAGCACGAAAGCCCTTAACGAAATATCGTTCGCCTTTTTTTATCGTTTTAAAATAGAGTTTATATTAGACAACATAGTCATTATATTATTTTCCTTATATTTAGCACTTTATAATCAAGTAAAATTTTGCTTATTAAAGTTTTCCTTATTTGAATTGCTACACACTGTCTCACCCTTTTTTACCCCTCAAAAGATAATGTGTGTTATGGATTGTGGGTTAAAGAGTTTTTCCAATTAAAGTGACAAATTTGAAATAGGGATTATTTTATTTACAGAGTCGCCACTTGAAATTGATTTTTGTCGGTGTTCCAAGTCACCTTTTATTTGAATCCCTATTCAATGGAAGGTTTGACTCTATTATTATTG